TTTTCGCATACATACTCACAATGGGAGTGGGTGATGGATAGTTAACTCGCTTTATGTCAAGTGGTAGGAAAATGTGGATAAGAGTGGATAGGTGGATAGACAGATATGGATGGACAGAAGAATGGGTGGCAATGCGGAGACGGAGAGAGCTTAGCCTCGACAACCAGACAATGCGAACTGGTTGTTGTTGGGCCTTGGGCTTGTTGTATTTCGAGTTTGTTTCAATCAGCGCACCATTCGCGAGCCATGTTTGAGGGCATATTTTACGGTTGGTTGGACGACGACTAACTGGCGTTTGTTCTGCAATCGTGTTTTTGTTTCTAAAACTGCCTTCGTGTTGGCACAGCCCACGAGGCATGCTTCGTGGTTTCAGATGAAAACGGGTCTAAGTCTTCCTACCAATATGAGCAAGTTGCGAAAAAAAGGTCAAACAACCTTTGTACAACTATAGGAGACTGCGACCACACTAAAGGTCACACCATCTTGGTCTTCATATCTTCGACAAAACACATAGTTTAATCGGAGGTATGAATAACAAGATACTGTGGTCTAAGTCGTCCTACCAACATGACCAAGTTGTGGAAAAAATGTCAAACAACTTCTTAAAACAACGAAAGGAGACTGCGATAACACAAAAGGTCACACCATCTTGGTCTTCATACCTTCGATGTAACTCGCGTTTGTTCTGCAATCGTGTTTTTGTTTCTAAAACCGCCTTTATGTTGGCGCAGCCCACGAGGTGCAAACGGGTCAAACTTGTGTTCGTCATCTGACAGGCATCATCGTAGCTTGACGTCTGTCATGCGGAAAGGTTGCGGCAGTTCGAGCCGAGAGCCATACAGACGCAGAGCAGCACGAATCGGTCGTCGTCTTCCGGTGGGATCAAACAATCACGCTCTTCTTTGATATGAAATCTCAGCCAGTCTTTGTATGCATTTCTCGTCCTTTGACCCATTCGTCCGCCGGCCGATACCACTTTTCCCGCGAAGATGACCTTAAATTCATGCTCAAGTTGACTTTCTGTCCTCTTTCTTCCGTCAGTCGCGGCTTCTCGCGGCCTCGGCGTGGCCGGGACTCGAACGAGACGGCCAGTCGCCTCTTCAACTGGCGCTGCACCGGCTTCGCCGTCGCTCGACACGACTCCGGACACTCCGTTCGCCGGTCGGCGCTTTCACACTCTGCCCACCTCCACGTCGGCCGTCTCGGCCGCGTCACGAGGCTCGGTCTATCAAAGCAGCACCAATTCCGCGACTGCTTTCGGCTCCGCGCGACTCGTCCAGTCCAATCGGACGGCGTCATTTGGCGCTGGCTCGAGCTCGTCCGCTCGAGTCCCCGCGGGCCCGAGGACTCGAGTGCTTCAGATGACCTCAACAACCCTTCGACGCCCGCCCATTCTAGCCGCAGTTCCAGGTAGAGCATGTTTTCGGAGCATAGTTTGTCTGAAGCCAGACGCATTTTGCAGAGAAGTAAGCTGAAACATTGGCTTTATCCGCTGCTTGTGGAGACGTAAACGGGGTTGGTGTGTCCGTTTAATGGCTTTCGCAACTTTTTGTTTGTAACTTTTATGTCAAAGTTTATACTTTTATTTTGCCATTGTAAGCAGGGTTTCAATATTACCAGTAAATCAGTAGTAA